AAATTTGCTTTTATATGTACCTTTTAATCACATTTAACATTTAAGTATTCGTTCATTACATAATATTGTTTTATATTAATTTATTCATAAAGCCTAGGCGGTGAGCCGCATACATGTCATATGATTAATACTATTCTTGGTAGCTTATACGATAAACCGAAAAAGTATGATAATTTTATATTTAAACAAAAAAATTAAGCCAGTAATTTCTATACTGATAATATAATATTAATTTTTATATAAATTTCTTATCTTTCAGTAAATACATTAAACCTTGGCGGCGAAGCCGCCACATGTACAAGTTCTAGTTTCATAGTAAAAAATTTACCCTGTGATCTGCGTGACAAATCGGGCGTCTGATACGTACTTACGTAATTGTGAATGCAAATATTTAAATATTTACCATTTAATATCTTTTACTCAAATAATTTGATGCATGGCGTGAAGAACATTTATTAATATAAGTATTCAAAAATAAGCTATTCAAGTCCAGAATTAGCATGTAAGTATAAGATCATTTATTAATCTAAGAATTTAAATAAGCCACCCGAATTTATAAATCTTTACTATTTATAATTTTATTTAGATCTAGTATAAAGAACATTAAGCACGATAATTAATGTATGAGAAGAAAGTTATTAATCTAAGTTCATGAACATTTATCATTCAGTCATTTTATTTGCGAAGTGAGTATAAAGAACATTTATTCTAATTGGCGATGAGGTGGCCTATAGTCTGGTTGGACAAGTATTATACTAAATCCGATCAGACAAAAATTAGCCAATCATACGAATTAAATATGCAGGCAACAGGTTATTCGGCAGACTATGAATTTAAACACCTTCTACTTTAGGCCGATTTTCTAATTGGAGACGGTCTCCCTATCACTAATAATAAGCCCGTGGGTACCACAGGTACCCGCGGATTTTGCGGGCCGAGCTAGGGCATCAATTTTTGAGCCCTAGGGCAAGGATAAAGGTTCAGATGTCAAGTCCTTACACAAACGGCTAGGGTTGGGGTATTGTCATTATCCGGCCCTACTCGGTCCATGCGGAGGCTAACTCCGGCCAAATAAAAAATCAATTAGTACCGTCAAAGTCTCTAGAATGGCTACCAATTAACCAAAATATATTTTGACTAGTTGTAATTTACAGAGGAATTTTATTTTCTTTACAAAACTTGATTGCCGGTACATATCCCTCGTAAGCGGCAGATTTGATTAAAGTAGTACCTTTTCTAACATTTTTGTTAACACCAATGCCTTTATAATACATATTTCCAACATTAAAAATGGCATGTGGATTCCCTTTATCAGCAGCTTTAGAAAATATTTAAAAGCTAGGCTCAAATTTTTTGTTACACCTGTACCTTTAGACAAATAACTTGCATATTGAATTTGTGCCTTCATCACGTCCCCTTCATCGGCTGCTTCTTTAAATAAATTTGCAGCTTGTTTAAATCGATCTTCTTTATTACCACTAAGACACATTAGGTTGTTAGAAAGATAGTAGCCTTTGTAATATTTAGCTGTTGTATCGCCTAATTTAGAATAGAATTCGAATGATTTCCAGGCTTCGTTTATGTTACCATCTTTTAATTTGTGCTGTTTAACTGCTTCTTCGATTGGCATAATACTTCTGATAAAAGAAGCAAGTGTCGGAGGTGTTTTTTTGTTTGTGGACGTATCTG